GGCACCTACCACTGCATCCAGCTAATTTTTTGTATTTTTAGTAGAGACGGGGTTTCACTGTGTTGACCAGGCTGGTCTTGAACTCTTTACCTCAAGTGATCCACTGCCCTGGCCTCCCAAAGTACTAGGATTACAGGTGTGAGCCACCACACCTGGCTCTAAAGATGTGACTTCTTGAAAAAATAATTTTCCGCAGGGTGCAGTGGCTCACGTCTGTAATCCCAGCACTTTAGGAGGTTGAGGCAAGAGGATTACTTGAGTCCAGGAGTTTGAGGCTGCAGTGAGCCACAGTTGCACCCCTATAGTTAAAACAAACAAACAAACCAACCTTTGGAAATTGTCCTCAGACTATAGAGCAAATGAATATATATTTTTTTTAAAAAAATCTACTAAATCTTATCAAAAGGAGCAAGTTTCTGTGGCACTTCAGCCACAACTTGCTGTACCCCCTACAGAACCCAGTCAAGGGCCTATAGCATCTCCCTGGGAAAGGCAGGGTGCCAGCATTTTTCATCCTTTCAGTTCCATATTGCAGAGGTGAAATTCCCAGTGAGTGTGGCCAAGAGGTGGAGGCCCAGTCCTTCCACCTTGCCTCCATTCATAAGGCAAAGACTCTGCCCCAGTTGTGGGAGGCTGAGAATACTGGGTCCCCAATTTTTCTCACTGCAGCCTACTCATATAGAACAGAGATTTCATGCCAGGAGAGGCAAGCTAAAAAGAACAGAAGCTACTGTCTTCATCTAGCACCCTGCTCATAAAGCAGGAATGTCACTCTAAAAGAAGGGCCTCTTTTCCCAGCCCCACTTCCAGAGCTGTGGCTTAGAAATTTTGCCCAGGGGCTGGGCGCGGTGGCTCCACGCCTGTAATCCCAGCATTCTGGGAGGCCGAGGCGTGTTGGATCACCTGAGGTCAGGAATTTGAGACCAGCCTGGCCAACATGATAAAACTCCTCCTCTATTTAAAGTACAAAAAAATTAGCCTGGTGTGGTGGCTGGCACCTGTAATCCCAGCTAGTTGGGAGGCTGAGACAGGAGAATCAGGTAGGCCCAGGAGGCGGAGGTTGTAGGGAGCTGAGATCGTGCCACTCTGCTCCAGCCTGGGTGACAGAGTGAGACTGTCTCAAAAAAAAAGAAAAGAAAAGAAAAAAGAAATTTTGCCCAGAGGGAGAGGCAGGTCATAAGAATAGAGAACTCTGAAATTTTCCTTAAAGGAAATTACTTTATTTGGAACAGAGTGTGGAGACGTTTAAGCCTGAGAGCACTCTCAAAAATAGTGGAGATTTTGGTGAGAAGGCCAGTATCACCCTGATACAAAGACCAATGACATCATAAGAAAATTAAAAATCAGTATCACTTAGGAATATAGACATAAAAATCTTGAATAAAATACTAGCAGATCAAATACAGCAATATAAAAAATGATTTTACACCATGACCAAGTGGAATTTATCTCAAGCATGCAATTTTGGTTTAACATTTGAAAATCAATTGTGTAATATACTATATCTATCAATAGAGTAAAGGACAAAATTCACATGATCATCTCAGTAGGCACAGCCAAATCATTTGACAAAATCCATCACCCTTTGTTTAAAACACTCTTCAAGCTGGGAATAGAGAAGATCTTCCTCCGCCTGGTAATGGGCATCTATGAAAATCTACAGTTGATAACATATTCTTAACATACTTTCTCACTAAGTACAAGAGTAAGACAAGGATGCCCACTGGTGCCATTTTTATTTAACATTCTACCAGAGGTTCTAGCTAGAGTAATTAGTCAAGAAAAGAAAAGCCATCCAAACTGGAAAGGAAAAAAGTAAATGTATCTATATTTGCAGATTATATGATAAATGATATATATTTTTTCTATATATATAATATATAGAAAATTCTAAGGAATAGACACACATCCAACATATTATTATACACACCGTATTAGAACTGCATAAGTTCCACAAGGTTCCAGGCTATAAGATCAATATAGAGAAATCAACCACTTCTATATCTTTGAATAAATAATTCAAAATGAAACTAAGAAAACAATTTTATTTATTTATAAAAGCACTAGAACAGAATACTTATGGATAAATTGAACCAAAGAAATGCAAAACTTAGACTCCAAAAACTTAAATAATTGTTGAAAGAAATTAAAGAATAAGTAAATGGAAAGAAATCCCATGTTTATGGACTGGAAAAGTTAATACTAAGATGGAATTAGTCCTAAATTGATCTACAGATTGAACGCAATCTCTATCGAAATTTCAGATAGCTTCTTTACATAAATTGACAAGTGAATCTTGAAATTCATTTTTTTTTTTTTTTTTTTTTTTGAGACGGAGTCTCGCTCTGTCGCCCAGGCTGGAGTGCAGTGGCTGGATCTCAGCTCACTGCAAGCTCCGCCTCCCGGGTTCACTCCATTCTCCTGCCTCAGCCTCCCGAGTAGCTGGGACTACAGGCGCCCGCCACCTGCCCGGCTGTTTTTTTTATTTTTTTAGTAGAGACGGGGTTTCACCGTGTTAGCCAGGATGGTCTCGATCTCCTGACCTCGTGATCCGCCCGTCTCGGCCTCCCAAAGTGCTGGGATTACAGGCTTGAGCCACCGCGCCCGGCTGAAATTCATATGAATGTTCAAGGGACTCAGAATCACCAAAACAATCTTTAAAAAGAACAGTTATAGGACTCACAGTTCTCAATTTGAAAACTTACTGCAAAGCTACAGTAATCAAGAAAGTAAAATTCTGGTGTAAAAATAGACATATAGGTCGATGGAATAGAGCTGAAGTTCCAGAAATAAACCCTCATATGTATGTATGGTCAGTTGCCTTTCAATGTGAAGACCATGTAATAAAGAATAGTCTTTTCGGCCAGGTGTGGTGGCTCACGCCTGTAATCCCACCACTTTGGGAGGCCAAGGCGGGCAGATCACAAGGTCAGGAGATCAAAACCATCCTGCCTAACACGGTGAAACCCTTTCTTTACTAAAAAGAATACAAAAAAATTAGGCAGGCATGGTGGTGGGCGCCTGTAGTCCCAGCTAATCGGGAGGCTGAGGCAGGAGAATGGCATGAACCCAGGAGGTGGAGCTTGCAGTGAGCCGAGATTGCGCCACTGCACTCCAGCCTGGGCGACAGAACGAGACTCCATCTCAAAAAAAAGAAAAAAGAGAATAGTCTCTTCAACACATATGCTGGGACCACAGGCTAGCAATAATAAAAAGAATGAAATTGGATAATTTCTCAAATCATACATAGGAATGAACTAAAAATGGATCATAGACTTAAATTTAAGAGCCAAAACTATAAAGCACTTAGAAAAAAACATAGGAGTAAATCTTCATGACTGTGTGTGTGTTAGGCAAGGCCTTCAAAAAAAGCAACAAAAGCACAGTCAACAAAAGAAAAAGTAGATAAGTTGGACTTAGTGCAAAGAAAAAACTTCTGAAATTTAAACCTTCAAAAAAGTGAAAGGTCAGTCGACAGAATGGGAGGAAATACTTGCAAATCATATCTTAAAAAGGATTTGTACCCAGACTATGTACTCTTACAACTCACTAATAAAAAGGCAACGCATTTTTAAAATGAGCAAAGGCTGTAAATCAGTAGTTCTTCAGATAAAATGTTAAAATGGCCAAAAGCACATGAAAAATGCTCAGTAGCTATCAAGGATATGCAAGTCAAAACCACAAGGAAATATCACTTCATACTTACTAGGATGACTATAATCAAAAACATAACAACGAGTTAGTGAAGATGTGGAGAAAGTGGAACCCTCAGACACTGTCGATTAGAATATAAAATTGTGCAGCTTCTTTGGAAGACAGTTTCACAGCTCCTCAAAATGGCAAACCATATGAGTTACCATATGACACAGCAGTTACACTCATATATATACCAAAGAGAAATGATGTCCACATGAAAATTTGCACAGGAATGTTCATAATAGCATTTGTATCATAGCCAAAAATACGGAAACAAATGTCCATCAATCTATGAATTGAGGGCTGAGCACAGTGGTGCACGCCTGTAATCCCAGCACTTTAGGAGGCTGAGGCCGGCAGATCACTTGAGGTCAGGAGTTCGAGACCAGCTTGGCCAACATGGAAAAACCCTGTCTCTACTAAAAGAAATACAAAAATTAGCTGGGCATGGTGGCACATGCCTGTAGTCCCAGCCACTTGGGAGGATGAGGCAGGAGAATCACTTGAACCCACAGAGGCAGAGGTTGCAGTGAGCTGAGATTGTGCTGCTGCACTCCACCATGGGCAACAGAGTGAGACTCCATCTCAAAAACAAGAAAAAAAAAATTATGAATTGATAAAGTATGGTATATCCATACAATGGAATTTCATTTGGCAACATAAAGCAATGAAGTACTGATACATGTACAACACAGATGAATCTTGAAACCATTCTAGAAGAGAAACCAGTTGTGAAGGAGCATAGATTGTATTATTCAATTTATATGAAATATCCAGAATAGGCAAATGTATACAGACAGAAAGTAGATTAGTGGTTGCCTAGGGGGGGTTGGGGTGGGATTTCTTTCTGGGATATGAACATGTTCTAAAATTGATAGTGATGATGGTTGTACAACTTCATGAATATACTAAAAACCATTGAATTATGTACTTAAATGGGTGTAATGTTTGGTTTGAGACTTATCTCAGTATAGCCTGAAGATTAATACTATTCAAAGTCTATCATTTAGCAGGTGGAAGACCTAGGATGAAAACTCATAGCAGCCAGTATTTCCTGTTGTTATCATAACAGAGGACTTTGCCTTTTTTTTTTTTTTTTTTTGGTTTAACACAAATGAACTATTACCGGTTGCTTTTATTTAGGGCCTGTGTTATTTGAAAAATACAACATAATGAAATGTATAATGAAAAATACAATCCACCTGCCTCAGCCTCCCAAAGTGCTGGGATTACAGGCATGAGCCACTGCGCCCGGACTAATTACGTTCCTTCTAATTAGCACTAGACTCTGCTATATTTAACAGAAAATAACAGAGGCCAAAACAGGTAAAGATTATTCTCTCATATGAAGTTACTAGGGTAGGCAAATCAGGCTAGCACTTTTGGAGGCCAAGGTGGGAGGATCACTTGGGACCAGGAGTTTGAGACTAGGCTGGGCAACATAGTGGGAGCCCATCTCTCTACAAAAAATAAAAATAAAAAATTAGCTAGATGTGGTGGCATGTGCCTGTGGTCTTAGCTACTTGAGGCTGAAGCGGGAGGATTCCTTGAGGCCAGGATGTCAAGGCTGCAGTGAGCTGTGATTGTACCACTTCACTTCAGCCTGGGTGACAGAGAAAAACTGTCAAGTTTTGAATTACATCATGTTGTACCCCATAAGTAAATACAATTTTTACTTATCGATTAAAAATAAGGCCAGACATGGTGGCTCATGCTTGTAATTCCAGTGATTAGGGAGGCTGAGGCAGGAAGACTGCTTGAGGCCGAGTTCAAGACTAGCCTGGGCAACACAGCAAGACCCTATCTCTACAAAAATAAAATAAATTAGCCAACTGTGGTGGTACATGCCTGTAGTCCTAGCTATTTGGGAGGCTGAGCAGGGAGGACTGCTTGAGCCCAGGAGTTGAAGGTTACAACATTCAGCCATTGTATTCCAGCCTTGGCAACAGAATGAGATCCTGTCTCCAAAAAATAAGTAAATACATTTTAAAAAAAGAAAAGTTATGTACTAGACAGTCTAGTACTGCGAGACAACTGCTCTGTCATCAGGGACCCAGGTTCCTTCTGTTGTACCTGCTTTACTATCAGTAAAGATTGCTTCATGGTCACAGGATGGCTGCTGGAGTACAAGCTATCACATCCCAGCCTCAGGCAGTAAGCCACCATATATTAGAAGAGAAAGGCAGAGTGACAGGTCTGCCTGTTTGAAGAGAGCAGGAAAAATATTTTTTAGTTGGGCACATTGCCACATAATATTACTAGTATTGGGGAGGTGATATTGGTTAAGCAAGGAGAAAATGCCACAACTCTGGAAAAAAAACTTTTTAAATAATTGGGACTGGGCACAGTGGCTCACGCCTGTAACCCCAGCACTTTGGGAGGCAGATTGCGTGAGCCCAGGAGTTTGAGACCAACCTGGGCAACCTGGTGAGACCCTGTCTCTACAAAAAATACAAAAATTAGCTGGTGGCATACACCTGTAGTCCCAGCTATTTGAGAGATTGAGGTGGAAGGATCACTTGAGCCCGGGAGATGAAGGTTGCAGTAAGCCATGGTCACACCACTGCGTACCAGCCTGGGTAACAGAGTGAGACGTTGTCTAAAAAAAAAAAAAAAAAAAAAGATAATAATAGTAATAATTGAAAAAAAACTGTGTTCTTATTGTTAGATTCTGAAAAGAAATCATCTCTCCTGTCAGAGGAACAACAAGCAACAAGCGCTTTAGTAGAAACCATCAGGCAGAGTATTCAGCATAATAATGTTCTTAAACCCATCAACCTACTTTCACAGCAAATGAAGCCAGGCATGAAAAGACAAAGGTAATAATCCAGTATTTTTTGCTTGCCACCACTCAATCATTTCATGTTTTTAAAAAATTATCTTACTTTTAAAAAATATCTCTAGTTGTCAAAGAAATACATACTCATTGCAAACCATCTGATTGTTCTAAAAAGTGCTACACAGATATATGCATTACTACTTGAACACACACACACAATAAAAGTGTCTGGGGGCTTGGCACAGTGGCTCACACCTGTAACCCCAGCACTTTGGGTGGCCAAAGCAGGAGGATTGCTTGGGCTCAGGATTTTGAGACTGGACTGAGCAACATAGCAAGACCCCATCTCTGAAAAAAAAATAATTTGGCGGGGTGGTATGTGCCTGTGACCTCAGCTACTTGAGAGGGTAAGACAGGAGGATTTCTTGAGCCCAGGAGGTCAAGGTTATAGTCAGCTGTGATCACACCACTGCACTGCCACCTGGGTGACAGAGCAAAACCCTGTCTCAAAAAAAAAAGAGTGGAAATAGATTACATTTTAAGAAGATAATTCATTGATCTAAAATGTACTTTCTTTTGGAAACATTACTGCTGTTTGCTGGAAACCTATAATTATATTTATTAACATTGATAAACTTATGTACCACTTATTCAGGGCCTGTGATACCCACACATCTTTTCTTTTGTTGGACATAAGAGAATATGGGAATAGGAGTAGAAACAATTTAGGAAAGGGATACATGCAGTGAACTATAAAGGATATGGAGTTATTGTGCTCCTGTCACTATTGTCTGCTAATATGCTCAGATTAGTACTCATCCCCTCCTCAGCATAAGTGAATTCTGCAGTAGAGGCTTCAGAAAAGTGTGTGTAATTGCGTATATCAAACATTACTAATGTTTCCACGGTCCCCTTCAAGTTTTTTAGGTCATGGCATCTTTGAAGATAATCTCAGAAGTGACAGGGCAAGAATTGACAATGAAAATGGATGGATCCATTTTTACTCTCAATAGTTGAGGTAGAGATGACCTTCACAGTCTGTAATAAGAGTAGCTTGCTGCAAGCATCTGTAGTTTAAGGACAGGGACGTAATATTAGAAATGTCATATTATGGCTTCTGAAGCTTCTAAAGAAAGCGATGTGAAGTGTCACTAGAATCAGCATTAACTCCTACTTTTTTTTTCTTTGTACACCAGTGCATTTCTTAAGTTTTCCTCTCATCTTTAACAACTGAGTCATAAAGCTCACTTTTAGTGTTTCATTTGTGACATTTTAATGCTCACAAGCCAAATAAAGGTGAACTGTCCTTTGCTATTGGGTGAAATAGTAAAGAGACCACACCACCTTTTACATTGTGTCAAGGGTTTTAAACCCCTAACTTACTTAGAAATTAATCTGTTACTTTGTCAAGTGACAAAAGATGAGAGAAGACTCTGCTTTTGTAAATTTTAATTAGAAATTAGAGTTAAAACAGTTAATGTATTGTTGAAATAAAGTTAAGCCATTTTTAATTGTTACTAATGTGAAGCTTTATGCCCATCAACTATGTTTTAACTTTACTTTGGAATAGAAACTTGCAGGAAGTTACAAAAATAGTACAGAATTCAGTGTAGCCTTCATGCAGCTTCTTCCAAATATGACACCTCATATAACTAACTGTAACGTAATATTAAAACTAGGACATTGACATAGGTGTATTACTGTTAACTAGATGACAAAACTTAATGTCTTCACCATTAAAAAAAAAAATGCATCTGTATTTTAATGCTATTTGCCCATTAACTTTTAAAACATATTTGTTTTATAGGAGTTTATACAGAGAAATCCTCTTCTTATCATTAGTGTCTCTAGGAAGAGAGAATATTGATATTGGTAAGTTGGTTAATAAAAGATTACGAAAGGAAATTTTATATTTTATTTTCAAAAGTAATTTTAAAAAATGTAGCTGGTATGTATAAAATATTTAAAAGATTTCTACTTCTAAATATGTAGTTCAAAAACATATAATTTGACTCAATACCAATTTGAAATGAACAGCTGTTGTCTTTCTTAACAAATTACAACTTCATTTTTGAAAATTTCTTTCAGAGGCATTTGACAATGAATATGGAATTGCATACAATAGTCTGTCTTCAGAGATTCTTGAAAAGTTGCAGAAAATTGATGCTCCACCAAGTGCCAGTGTCGAGTGGTGCAGGAAGTGTTTTGGAGCGCCTCTCATTTAAATAGAGATTCACTAGAATTTTGACACACAAGGCTTGGAGATTAGATTTAATCTGGAAACATTCAAGGGTTTTTTTCCCCAAATCGTAAGAACTGGTGAATATGGAATTGAAGTAATTCTTGAGGACAGTATTTAATGAATTATGATTCATACTGCATCATGTCGAAATATGAAATGCCATTTAAATGTCCCAGGGCTTATTAACATTGAAGATTTTCAACTCCTAAACTGCTTTTCTGCCTCTGTGGAAAACTACTTTGGGATTCCTCAGTATTTGTAGTAGTTTGATAGAAATAATGAGGAACCATATTCATTCTAGGCATTATTTATATTTGAAGTTACTGAGTTTGAGGAATGGCAAATTAAATTTGCCTAACCTCCAAAATGAAATATCTCAATTACAAAAGCAACATAGCCGGGCACGGTGGCTCATGCCTATAATCCCAGCACTTTGGGAGGCTGAGCAAGGTGGGTGGATCACTTGAGGCCGGGAGTTCGAGACCAGCCTGGCCAAAACGGTGAGACCCTGTCTCTACTAAAAATACAAAAATTAGGCGCGCCACTGTAGTCCCAGCTACTGAGGCTGAGGCAGGAGAATCACTTGAACCCAGGAAGCAGAGGCTACAGTGAATGGAGATTACGCCACTGCAACTCTAGCTTGGGTGACAGAGTGAGACTGTCTCCAAAAAAAAAAGCAACATATTTGTGTAAGTGTGTATATGTGTACGGCTGTGCAGGTATGTGTATATACAGCCATATTCTAAGTGTATATTTATTAAAATAGATTGCATGTTGCAATACAATTTTCTGAAATTTTCTGATTATTAAATGAATGACTACTACTGAACTTGTATGTAGTCATTAATCTTAAAATTACCTGAAAATCTGATGACAGCTGCCTTCCCTGACTTTAATGCATTAGGTTGGGGCAAAATTGTAGTTTTTGCCACTATTAATGGCAACTATTATTTTTGCACCAACATAATACACTTTTCATATTATGTATTATCTTGCTTAATGGATTTTATCTTGATTATCCAGTGACTTCCATCCTCTTCCCATATCTTAATTTGCAATAGTTTTAAAATTGGAACAAATGAATCAATCATCAGTTAAAATGAAATTAAATCAGCTGCCTAATAATTTATGAAATTCATTGGAACATGCTTAAAATGCTAAAGTGTATGTCATTAAACGTAAAATCTTTGTTCAGGCACATACCTTGTTGGTATCGATCACTTTTTAAAACCTGTGGGATAAACTTGCACTGCACACAGAAGTTTTATTCTTGTATAATATTTAGATTTGTATGCTTGTGAGTAAAAATGTGCATTTGTAAATACTGTTTTTTTTTTAGGTTGAATCAATTAAGTCTTAAAACTGTAAATTTATTAAGCTTGTTGTCAGTAGGTTTAAGAAAATCATGATCTCACATGCCTCACTTTGACATTTATCATGCCTTTATTAAAAATATCCCTTAGGAACAGTAAGTTTGCCTTAACTCTCTGCATGGTTTTAAAAGCCAGTGGTTTTGTGAGTGTTTACAGTAATTATGCAGATGGCTAAATGAGTTGACACAGTAAAATTACTTCCATATGGTACAGTAACAGCCTAACTCCCTTCTACCTGATGTAACCATTTACAAATTGTAGTTATTGTACCAGTCTTTCAACATTTCAGGGTTAATCTGACCTATGCAGAATTCTAGTGTGAATTTATTGTGAAAATGCTAAATTAAACAACTTGTCAGAAATTATGTACAATTTTCATTACCTTTAATGGATCTTTTGCACTGTCTCAGAGTATATATTTTTGCAACTCAAGACTTGGTACTAGTTTTAATACTTAATACTTACTGACCCAACAGAAGTTTTGAATTACCTTGCATATAAAAATTGAGCTTGAATAAAATGAAAAATTCTTAAGTTCGTTGTGTTTTGTTACATTAAGCCTCCTGAAATCTGTAATCTTTAGAATTCCAATACTTTTGCTTTTTCCATTTCTTCACTGGAGTCTTCGTAACTTGAACTAAATTTTCACTTACTGAAGCACTTCCCATTAAAAAAATTCTGTAAAGATCTCTTTACATGTTTAAGAATATATGGCTATATCAAATTACAAACTTTCTAATAACTTTAGCAATCATACCTTGAAAACTTTAGCCTGCTGCTGCCACTTAGATATTGGGACTGATTCCTTGTTGTAAATTCTTAAAGGCTTTTTCCAATACCCACCGCAGATAGGGTACCACTAAAAATTTACAAGAAAAAAACATTACTATGGAAAGATTTAGAAGTACCCAGAATGACTTGTAGCACTGTATGCTACTTTAATCCTGACAACTTCTAAAAGCAATCTTTAAAATTAGTCCAGATTACTTAGCAGTACCTTACATTGCTTTGGGGTTTGATAGCAATTGTTTTTTCTTCCAACGAATGAATTGTATAGGTTGATCACAACCTGCATAGTAATGACATGTCAGAATGACTTGCATCTGTCTCTGGAGAACTGGGTATGGTGGCTCATGCCTGTAGTAATCCCAACACTTTGGCATGCCAAGGCAGGCAGATCACTTGAGCCCAGGAGTTCAGGAGTAGTCTGGGCAACATAGCAAAACTCTACAAAAAGCACAAAAACAAGCCAGGTACGACAGTGCACACCTGTAGTCCCCAAGAGGTCAAGGCTGCAGTGAGCCATACCACTGCTCTTCAGCCTGGGCATAGGAGTGAAACCCTGTCTCAAAGGAAAAAAAAAAAAGTCTTAAGGAGAAACAGACTGTCCTCATTTTGTGGCTGCACTCGATTTTCAGAAAGCAGGGCGGTTCTCATGTTTTGTGCATCACAGTCAACCAAGAACTGGTTAATACAAAACTTTGGACCGTATACCGGACTCACCTTGTGGCTCTTAAGTTCCTCTCTGTGGTGGTTTCAGGTAAAATGCTAAATTTCTCTTTGCTTTTTTTTTTCTGAGGGAGTCTTGCTCTGTCGCCCAGACTGGAGTACAACAGCGTGATCTTGGCTCACCGAAACCTCAACCTCCCTGGTTCAAGTTATTCTCCTGCCTCAGCCTCCCAAGTAGCTGGAATTACAGGCGCCGGTGGCTAATTTTCTTGTATTTTAATCAAGATGGGGTTTCACCATGTTGGCCAGGCTGGTCTTTAACTCCTGACCTCAGGTGATCCACCTGCCTTGGCCTCCCCACCTGGCGATCCCCTTTGCCTTTTAAGTTCTGCATACTACTAATCACCAGCTAAGATTCATGTTATGTAGCTTTTTAACACCATGTAGCAGGCATCCAGGGACTGGCATTATTGGCCTCACACCTGGGAGCTTTTTAGTAATATGAAAATGTAGGTCCCCACTCCTCTATCACTATCTGCGCCTTAACCAGACCCCTAGGTGATTAACATGTACATTTAAAATTTAGTACTCTGCTTTATAAAGCTATTACAGTAGTTCCAACAAAGAGCTTGCACTGCTTCAACCTTAAAGCCTAATGTGCCTTCTTGTAAAGATCCTGATATTGTCAGGATAGTTAGAATAGAAACTATTAGAAAAAAATACATGCTTTGTGCATTTTTCACTGATCCAAGAATGTTTTTAGTCATTTCCTTTCAGTGTGTGAAACAATTCACTGGAGTTGAAAAACTCTGTTAAAGCAAATTTGAAACGGTTTAAAAACTTCATTTTAAGATGGTATCCACTAAAACTATGCCTTAAAAGTTATCTTCAAAAAAGAAGACATGTTCATCTTCACATGGTCAATTTTCATGTATTAAATTGTGTATAGTGTTTTAAAGAGCTATATTCCTCAAAATAAACTATATGAAAAAGATTAATAGTTCTCATCATTTCCCCTAAGTTCAATGCCATTCTGAAGAGGCAGATTCTTATGCTCAGAATCCCTTCCTGTGCTACCCATCCCCCAAAAAGAACCCCTTTACATTGACCTTGTCTTCCACTACCACACAATAGGTCTGATTTTATCCACCATTGGATTACCATATACATATCCCCATTTTCTATGACCAACTTTCCCTCTCTTCATTTATGTAGTTTTCTGTCAAGCAATGAAAAGTCAACAGAGATCCGAGTCTGATCTTATTTATTTGTTACTCAAAAAATCTTATTTTTGACTGGATTCAGACTTAGAAGTAGAAGCTCGCAGAGAGGAAAGTCTGCGTCTCTTTGCAATTTGTTCCTGGCGCTTCTCCTTAGCCTCCTAAACAAAACAAAAAACAGCATATAGTTAAGGCCTTTCTGGGGTAAAGATGCAAATCCAAAGCCAGGTCGAACTCCTCCCACCCCCTCAAATCATCTTACACTAACCTTCATTCTTTTGGCCAAAAGTTTAGCATATTCTGCAGCCTCTTCCTTGTTTTTCTTAGTACGCTGCTTCTTCAGAGCAATACGCCGCCGTTTGTGCTGCAGGACACGTGGAGTAACAAGACGCTGAATCTTGGGTGCTTTGGTCCTAGGTTTCTTACCTAAAAATTCAAAGGACTCAATCATTTCAACTGTTTTGTTAGAATCCACATCTACTTTAAAAACATCAGAAATGAACGTAAGCGTCATCAACAGCATCTATGAAAACCTGTATTGAGGCCTTTAAAATCAAATCAGAAGTATTTTAAAATACTTTTTGCCCCTCCACAGAAATCTAGAAGATGGGTTAAATATTATAAAAATATAAGGGAAACCAAGTGCTGAAAAATAACCAAGCTAACCTTTACTACCTTCCAGTTTTACTAAAATACAGTGGCATGTTAAAATATAACTCTGCATAGTCAATTTGTCCGTGAAAACCACTTAACATAGTATTTACATAATCATCCTGCCATACTTTTAAGTGTAAGTTGGATGTAAGCTTGCATCTCTATTCCCCTTGACAATTCCTGCCAATTCAGGGGTAACGTAACAATTAACATCAGATTATGTGACATGTTGTTAAAGTATCTTCATTAATCTGATCTGTACTCCAAAACTGCTCAGACTGTAGATCTGCATTGGAGCACAGGCTGTTTCATGAACACTCGTGGGAGTTTAATTGCCTTAGGCTAAATGCTCAGATGTTCAGGTTCTGCTAATATTTCAGACTCCTACTATAAACACAGGAACCATCTAAAAATACCCATCAACCACACCATGCTTTTATTATTCTGATTATTTCCAGGGCTGTGATTATCAGCAACTGCCACCTATTTGTCAATTGCTTTTCTTTCTTTTTTTTTTTTTTTTTGCAATGTCAGCTTCATTAGGGTAGGAATTTGTCTATACTGTATTCTCAGCACCTTGAACAGTACCTGGTGCTCAAATAATTGTAATTACTGACTTAACAGACATGTACTATATATGCTATGTACAGGTGTTAAGTCACACCAGTCCTGGAAAAACAAAATCCAGAGAAATTCTTTCAGATTTTGTCAGGAAAACCCAACCTTGACTGACATGCTGTTTATTCTATTTAACATAAACATTCCCAAATTTCACTACAGAAATATTGTCATTTGAGGTCCTCACTGGTATGTTGTCTAATATATTGACACAAGTTCTTAAAAGGTAAAGCTCCAAAATCCCTAACTCCCGCTTCCTAGTATTCTAAGGTCTCTAACTTCTAATTCTTACAACTCTTAACAATTGTTATCCATATCCTACAGATGAAACAAGTTTAAAGCAACTTCTTTAGTAAGCCAAAAAATAATTTAGGGTTGGGTGTGGTGGCCTGTAATCCCAGCACTTTGGGAGGCCAAGGTGGGAGGATCACTTTAGCTCAAGGGTTCTAGACCAGCCTGGGCAACAAAGTGTGACCTCATCTCTTAAAAAATATTAACAGTAATAATTTAGAACATCTGATGTAAAATTACAAAGTGTGTGGTGGTGAGATAATAGTTCCAGAATTCTCAAGCATGTGACTCCTAAACCAGATAGCAATGACCTTAAAGTCAGGTTAGTTTTGGATAAATGTATACATCAAAGATTCACAGGCAGATTTTCAAGGAAATTACTGCACTCTACAAAGCACTGGATATAATAAGCAAGCATTAATACCAACTGGGTATGCTGGCCACCCCCAAATATTTTTTGTAAAAATTCAGACTCCAGGTGAAGAATGCTAAGGCTCCAAAGGCACATTTTTATCTTCTGATATGCACACAAAATGATATTGACAAATCACCAAAATTAAGCAAGCCCTAATTGCATAATCCCTCCTACCTTCTTTGTTTAAGGGCTTTCTTACAACATACTGGCGGACGTCATCTTCTTTAGAGAGATTGAAAAGTTTGCGGATTCTGCTAGCTCTTTTGGGGCCCAGGCGGCGAGGCACTGTAGTATCAGTCAGTCCAGGAATATCCTTCTCTCCTTAGAAGACACAATTGAAAAGATTTTAATTCAACAACTTCCTTAAGAATCCTAAATCAAAATATTTAATGTTGAATTGATGGTAAAGAAACAAATCCACTGGATACTGCAAATGAATAAGCATTTGGACAACTGGCTTTACATCAATTTCAATGAAAATTGAACACAAGTAACCCTCACCTTTTTTTACAATAACCAAGTTGAGAACGCTCAGATTGGCATCCACAATGCAACCACGAACTGATTTTCTCTTTCTTTCTCCCGTTCTCCTTGGTCTGTAACAGGAATGCCCCTTACTCAGTAGCAGGCGGACACGGCCATGGGTCAAGACACCCTGCTTCATGGGGAAACCTTGTTTGTCGTTCCCACCACTGATTCGGACCACATAACCCTGCAAGAGCATACAATGAATGACACATTTACTATTTCTATTCCAAAATTATACAATACAGGATTGTGACCTCTGTGAACCACACCTATATGAGAAAGGATAATTCATTATGAAAACCAATTTAAACTTAAAACTTAAGCACGTTTTCTCTGATCAGTAAGTTTTGTCTACATTCCCAACTTATCAAGTTCAATTATCAGATGTCTTTCATTCAAGTCGCATTTCTAACCGATGTTTTATTAGAAATAACAGCACTAGGAAGATAAAATATCAAAGAGCAACAAACAAATCAGATACAATGCGTCTTCGCACTTTGGGGATTATGAGGACAGCTATGTGATATCTGCCGAATGCATGATGCTTGGCAAGAATTACGTTGATGTAAACTTTACGTATATTTTACGGCTTACTCTATGTCTCCCCTCCAAGGTAACAGCTCAACTTCATAAAGTGGCATTCGGAAGCAACTTACCAAAGGTCAGAAGCCAGAACCCGCAGTCTGAACCCCATTCCAAATACCAATTACCAATGGCGTTTACCGTCTCTGACTTCAATAGCTGCAACAATTTGTTAACTTTTACCTTCCATTCTTCACCCAGAGCGTCAGCAGCAACTTCTGTGGCCATACGCTTCTCATAAAAAGTACGAAGTTTGCGTTCATCGTCCACTTCAATGAGTTTCTGGCAGCCAGTGGCTGGGAAGGAGATGTTCAGCTAAGGATTAAAAGGGAGGGAAATAGTTTACGAAACTACCTACACAGGTAATTGTAGAGCCATCCACAAAGTTAATTCCACTGCAAAAAGCCTTTCATGTTGCCTCCACACAAGCAGGAAATATGAGATGCCGACCGTACTCACTAAAAGCACGTGAAAGCAGAGTAGCAGTCAAGAAGCGCCGCACTCAGGAGGACGTATTCCCCTCAAGCTCCGCAGAACGACTCTGGGGGCGAGGGCGCTCCGCAGCCGTTCACCCTCCCGAAGCAAGAAAGCCGGGGTCAAGAGCCGCACCACAGGCCTGCCGCAAACTGGGCAACACGCCGGGACGCCACCATGGCGCTCCCGGCCCGCCGCGGCTCCAGCCGCAATCGCCTGCCATCCGCTCGGCCAAAAAGCTCCATGCCCCAGAAAAGCGAGCCTTCTCCTACTTGAGACCCTTCTCCACCTAAAGCCAGGATCTTGCAGTGCTGGAAATGAGGCAATATCGCGTTCTGGGACTCGATTCACGTTCCCCAAACCAGTCTAACACTCGCCACCACCACCTACCTTCATCTTGAAGCAGCCGAACGCCTCCGAGGCGCCACAGAAAAGAGGGCCAACTTCCGCTTAGCGCAAGTCTCATAGGCGCTTTCAGTTCTCGCGAGATGAGCAGAAGTACGGGACAGCGGAAGTAAGCACGGGTGGGCGGCACTTCCGGGGTCGAGTTGAATCAGGGTCTGGGAGGTGAAGTTGATTGCCAGTGGGTGTGAGGTTGTGCCAGCAGTTGGTGGTCTGGTAAGGCGAGCCCGCGTGTAATTCTGAGGGTTAGTCCCTTCCCTGTCTTGTCTTTTCCACGCTCCCTGGGTTTTGGAGCTGGGTGGCTCACGCCTGTAATTCCAACACTTTGGGAGGCTGAGGCGGGCGGATTATTTTAGGTCAGGAGTTCGAGACCAGCCTGGCCAACATGGCGAAACTCCGTCTCTAATAAAAATATATAAATTAGCCGCGCGTGGTGGTGGGGGTGGGGGGGCGACTGTAGTTCCAGCTACCAGGGAGGCTGAGGCACGACAATCGCTTGAGCCCGAGAGGCGGAGGTTGCAGTGAGCCCATATCGCACCACTGCACTGCAGCCTAGGCGACAGAGGGAGACTCCGCCTCAAAATAAAAAAAGTTCGAGTTCCAAACCAAGTAAACAAGAATAATGTTTACTTTCTAAAATTATCACATACCATTTTACCACTTTAGTGTCACAAAGGTTTGAGTTTAGGACTGTTTCACGTTCGAAGTTGAACGATTCTACTGAATCTGCTTTGATCATCTCACATTAATTCGTGGAATCTTGGTGAAATGATGCTTTTTAAAATCTGAGTACTGTATGTAATTTTTTTGTTAAGGTGAAATTGACATAACCAGTCATTTTTAAAGTGAACAATTCAGTGGCATTTAGTACATTCACAATGCTGTACAACCAGCATCTCTATCGATACAGTTCCAAAACATTTTCATCATCCTAAAAGAAAACGCTGTGCCCCGTTAAGCGGTTGCTCCCCCTTCCCCATTTCCACCAGGCCCTGGCAACCACCAATCTGTGTCCTGTCTCAGTGGATGTACCTATTTCACAAAAATGGAATCATACAATATTGACCGTTTGTGTCTGTCTTACTAATCTTTTGAGTCGTAGCATGTATCAGTATGTCATCCCTTTTATGGCTCAATGTGCTAGTGTAGGTATAGACTGCAATTTGTTTATCCATTCATCCATTAATAGACATATGGGTTGTTTCTACCTTTTAACTATTGTAAATAGTTCTTCTATGTATGAGTACTTGTTTTCAGTTATTTTAGGTATATACCTAAGAGTGAAATTGCTGGGTCATACAGTAATTTTATTCTCAACTCGGGGAGAAACGGAAACTATTTCACAGCAGCTGAACCATTTTACATTCCCACCAGCAATGTATGAGGACCGCAGTTTATCAAAATCATGGCCAACACTTTTTTTTTTTTAATTTTTAAAAAATGTATTGTAGAGACAGGGTCAAAGCAAGATCCTGTTGGTCTGGAACTCTTGGCCTGCAGCATCCTCCTGCCTCAGCCTCTGGAGTAGCTGCGACTCATAGTGGTTTCGATTTGTGTTTCCCTAATGACTAATGATGTTGAGCATATTTTAATGTGTGTGTTGGCCGTTTGTATATCTTCTTTAGAGAAATGTCTGTATAAGCTCTTAACTCTCCCTGTTTTTTTTGCCCTAATTATTTTTATTGAAGTAGTGGGAGTAAATTAATGTGAGGCGAAGACAAAGTCTAGAACTATGGGCTAGGTTTTTTTGTTTGTTTTTCCTTTTAAAAATATTTTAGGGTGGCCAAACTCAGTGGCTCACACTGGTAATCCAAATGCTTTAGGACGCTGAGGTGGGAGGATCTCCTGAGGCCAGGAGTTTGAGATCAGCCCGGGCAAACATAATGACACCCTGTCTTCAAACCCTGACACCATTTTGAAGTGTACACTTCAGTAATGTTAAATATATTAACATTGTTGTAAAATAGATCTCCAGAACTTTTTCATCTTGCAAAATGGGAACTTCATACTCATTAAGTAACTCCTTTCCCCCTACCCACAGCTTTTGGTAACCATTCTACTTTCTGTCTCTATGATTTTGACTAAGTATCTCATATAAATGGAATCAAACGGTAGTTGTCTTTTTGTGACTGGCTTATGTCATTTAACATAATGGTCTCAAGGTTCATCCGTGTTATAGCATGTGACAGGATTTCCTTCGCTTTTAAGGCTGAATAATACTCTGTTGCATGTAGATACTACATTTTGTTTAACCGTTCATCTGTCATTGGACATTTTGGTTGTTTCCACCTCTTGGCTACTGTAAGTAATGCTGATATGAACATAGGTGTGCAAATATATCTTAGAGACAGACCCTGTTTTCAATTATTTGGGATATCCAGAAGTGGGACTGCTGGATCATGTAGTAGTTCTATTTTTGATTTTTTGAGGAACCTCTATACTCTTTTACATGTGACTGTACCAATTTACAATCCCACCAACAGTAGACAAGGGTTCTTTGCCTTTTTTTTTTTTTTTTTT